ATGAAAAACTCATGCAATTGGACGTTCTGGTTTTGAAAAATAAAGTTTTTATAGAATGATAGACAAAAATAATAAATATACCTATGCTTTATTGTGTGACGGAATTCTGGTAGCTAGATGTCTCGTTAACGTTGATCAACTAATTCCAGTAAGGGTTGCCAATTTAACGAAGAGATTATTCAAACTGAAGAAAATACAATAGGGCTCTGTACATCGGTAGAAAAGATAATCAAGTGCGAAGACCGTTCCACGGGGAAAGTCAGCTTCGTAAAACAGCTATTTAAAAATTATGACCACCTGACAGCTGAAGAAAATTCAATGAATTCATCAATACCAACTGTGACATTTTTGAGAAAGGAAAATCTACGGGACGTACCAGTCTTGTTCAGCATAGAATTTATACAGGCGATGCAAGGCAAATACGACAAGCACTTAGAAGACTTCCATTTACTAAACAAAAAGAAGTAGCAAATATGATACAGGACATGATGGTCTCACCCTATATATCTGTTGTATGTATAAAAAGTATGAAAGCAAATAGAGTATTGTAGTTAGTTCTACGAAAAAAAAAAACAGGTTCCTCTTATTTTTGTGCTAATATTGACAAAAACATGCATTTTATGAAAATGTAAAATTGTAAAATACTGATTTTAATCAAAAACTGTTAAACTTAGAGCTTTGATGCACCAAAGATATTTGATCCATATCTCAAGTTCTACAACATATCAAAATTTCATTAAATTCTGACCGACGGGTATTTTACATTTATAACTTGCCTCCTCCTTAAAACATAAAATAAATTCAATACATTTTGAATTGATTATGGGGGGAGAATACTTAAATAGTATAATTAATGAATTTATATATTTGGGAGTGAGGTATGATTCAACTCTGTCATTTGCACTGTACATTGAAGAGATTTGAAAGAAGAAATTTAAAGACTACAAAATTTAATCATACATAGTATTATCTACTAAATGTATAAAATATAAACACAAAAAACTACTTAAAATAAGATTTTTCTTAATTTTTCGAAATAAGAAAGTATTATTAAATTTGCTACCTATTTCAAAAATGTTATTAAATCTATAGGTAAAAATTACAGAGTTGTTTTGACAGATTATCAAGTTTCAATAGCACAAACTTAATTTTTTTATTCTTGGACCTCATATCGGAGCCCGAAACAAAATCGTTGAATTCATATTTAGGTTGCGCCAAAAAGCCTTCTTTAAATCTGTGTCATATGCCTTTTGTATATCAATAAATATATTTACTTTATTTTGTTTAAGCCATGAAGTTCCTTAAAATTTAAATATTTTTTAGGATGTGGTAGAGTAGAACATGGAGAAGATGGAAGATATCTGTATTCAGGAGATCTCAATGCGATATCTGAATCAGATGCTAAAACAGTACAGCGGTACACTGGTTTCTTCGTTAATTTTATTAAACATTTGTAAGTAATAAATACCTGCCTTAACACTAGAGGAAAATAATTGACAGCAAATCAAAAGTTTAATAATTATTATTAGTGTTAATTTATGAAGAATATTTGTATAATTATAAGAAAATTAATCTAACATTATACAGGGTCTTTCATAAAGACCTACCTAACTCTCAAGGGCTAATAGTGCGTCAAAAAATTATGTTAGTTTACTTAATACCACCACTTCGAAGGGGGTTGAAAATTACCACTTTTAAACTAAGTTTTAAAAAGTATTAAATTACACCATTTAAATCGACTTTCCAAAAACTTCGGTATCTGCGAATGGGTAAATAAGAGTTGAGAGGTTAATTATTTTTAAAAAAACAAAATTAAAATTACGATTTTTCTGTAATTGTCATATTGAAAAGGTACTTTTAGCAAATGTGGGCAAAAGTTTAGTCAGAATTTGAGTTTTAATTTCAACTCCCACTAAAACTTTTAATAAATGAAAATTCTACATTACATTTTTATATTGTAACTTTTGTTTATCCTCTTTTTTTTATCTTTGAGATATATACTTAACCACCTAGGCCCAGTTTAGATACGTTGACTTTTGTTATGAAACAATGTAGACGTTCCAGTGATAATATAGCGCTACTTATAATCTTTTTTCCACGTTAATGATATCTTTGTAACAAACCATATGTGTAATTTCTGTTATATCCTAGAAAGCCTTTTTACTTTTTGTAGATTTTATTATAAGGCCCATAAAATAAAATCGTATTAATGAACACGTGACGTTCCAAATACGGTTTAGTCCAAAATCCTACCTTTTTATTTATGTTTATATTGTCCTGTCTATCTTTTATATTTTATATGGATTATGGACTATTTAAATATTCTATTTGTTTTATCTATATCTATATAAAAAAGGTCTTCTAAAATATTATAGAGAAAAAGTATGATAACGATAATACATTAGTTAGTCTAAATTAATACTGAATGTTAAAGTAAGAAATTCGAATGAAATTCTGAATATCAGACAAAACACATTATCACCGGTTACGTAAGTAGCAAACATTCATCGTTGTCTCCATCTAAGAACGCGGGACGGAGTCCTCCTGGATGGTTAGGTCTGCGTTGTATACATTAAAGATAATCTAGGGATGAGCATCGAACATCGATGTTTTCTAAAACGATGTTTTATTGACATCAAGGTAGACATTTCAATGTTTTGGAATTTGGTTTCTTTGTACCTAAAAACAACAATAAGCGAATTTTTGAAAAACCCACTTGAAATTTGGAAACAACTAACACCAACATACTCAGCACTAACAAAGGTCTCCAAAAAGTATTCAACGATAGAGCTCTAACCGAAAAGGGAAATTGGCTTGAGGAAAATAATTATCTAAATTACTTTTTTTTTAAAATTCGGATAAACAGTTTTGGATTTGTGTTGATACACGGAAAAAAAATTGTAGAACAAATTTCTATAATTGTAGATTTTTTCTCTACAATAAATAGTACATATAGGGACAGGGACAATTTGTAGTAAAAATTTCCAAATATTTGTGGAGAATGTATTGTAGAGTTATTATCTACAATATTTAGTAAAAATGTCCAAATGCATCATAAGAATTGTTTACAAATTGTTATAATTTTTGCTATTCATTGTATGAATTTATATTAAAAATGTATTGCGTTTTATGAAAATAAATACGAAACTTTTACACAATAAATAGTAAAAATTCATACAAATTGTAGTAATTTTTAATAAAATATGTAGTAGTATTCCATAATTATTATAATTATAACCTAGAAAAAAATGTTCCTTAATAAAATATTCAATTTATTGTTTTAATATAAAAGATACAAATTCTTAATTACATTATGTAATAAATAACAGTAATAATAGCGCCCTCAGTCTCAGTTGGCTTTTCTGCACCTGAAAAATATGAAATAAAAATTAATACCAATTGAACTGTTCATACCCTTAAAACGGGGATATTTATCACCTTTACACTGATTTGGACATTAAATTAAACTAAGTCAGATAACTAACAAAAATGAGAAAGTAGGTATGTCACAATTAAGACAAAAAAATATCATTGAACTTGGCACAAAATTCGATCGTTGGGCACAACATTCGATCGTTGGCCACAACTATTTTTTTAAAATAATCTACTAAGGTTATTTAAATTAGTTATCTAAAGGTAAATTATTCAGAAACAATATTAAATGTACTTACCACCAATAGAATGTATTATTAAAATTTTCTCAAACGCATCGGTGCTTATAATATAATGTGTTATAGGTACTCGTATATTTATGTATTTGTTATGTGAACATGGCGAACGGCTACTGCTGTCTGGCCGTTTATGATCGACGTCAGAAAACGTTGGCCAATAGCAGAATTTTGTTTTGTTCACATGACTAAGAATTTCTACAATATTGTAGAATATTTTTCAACAAAATTGAATGTTTATTATAAGAAGGGATGTAAATTATTACTATTTTTTGTAGAGAAAATTACTATTTTTTGTAGAGATAATTATTAATATTTGTACAAATTTTTACAGAAGTTAGTAGTAGTAATTACGATAATTGTAATAAATTTCTACTTCTACAAACAATAGTAAAATATACTAAACATTGTGGACTTCTTTCCTATTGTTGTAGCATTTTATTCGACAATTCAATTGCTACAATAATTAATAGTTTTTAACTATAAATTGTAGTAAAAATTGTTAAGTATTTTTCTACAAGTCTACTACTACAACATTGTAGTAAAATTTTCTAGTCACATTTTTTTCCGTGTACCTAACCATTTTCTAAATATTTGATATTTTGATAAACATGGGGTATTAAATAAATGTTCAATGTTTTGGTTTTGTATTAATACATAATATAATAAACCATGAAAGTGTGTCACTGGTAAAATTTTTCAAAAGTTACGTTATAACAAAATATTACTTTCTTAAAGAGCATATAGCTCATTAAAAATATTAAAGGCGATTTTTATTCATGTCAAATTTTAAATTTTGATTTCAAACTTTTAGCACCCTACTTCTTGATAATTAATTTCTTCAAGGGTTTATGTTCCTAATTAAAATTAATCAATTAATAAGAGCTCTCTAGGGTAAAGCGTTGTTGGACAAATATAATGACACTCTGTATAACAATTTTTCCTTGGTTTCAATTAAATCCCACACACTTTAGATACCGTCATTATGTCGATTTATGCCCACAACAGAAAATTCCTCTTTCCGAATCAATTAATACGTAAATACTATTTCGTTTAAGAGTTATATATTTTTTTAGAAATCCTACTCCTGAAAAAGATGAAATATTTCAGAACATAACTTGGCCCAAGCTTAATCCTGACAAATTAAATTATTTGGATATTGATGAAAACCTATCAATTAAAACAAATCCTAGAAATGGAACTTACAAAAAATGGGTAGCGATTTACGATAAATATGCTCAAGAGCCTCTGTTATCATACTGATAATATATTATAAAATAATTTCAAGTGGTACTTTTGTAATTTTCTAGATAAATAAATTTTATGTAAAAAGTTAGTCGTTTTATTGAAACTATTGAGAATGGAGAGTACCTTTAAATTTTTATGTTTATTAGTCAGCTGCATTTTAGTGGTAGGTTCAGTTTTGGATAAATTTAGCAATAATTATTTTAATATTAAATTAACAAATATTTTAATCGTGATATTCAAATACCTAATCATCCCTACATCTAACAGACACGCCCATTATTTTCTCATCGTACAAAAAATCGTAACTTAGTCCCATATACAGGGTGAGTCGGGAGGAGCGCACCAAACTCTAGGAGTATATTATACACGTGAAAATAATGTAAAAAAAACTCATATGTTTCTTATCCGATTTTTCATTTGTTTTCAAGTTATGGGCGTAATTAAAAACGTTCATCTAGCTTTATTAGAATGCAGATGTACTATCAGCACGATGGGGCTCCTGCACATGTCGCTCGTCAGCTCAAACAACATTTGGGACGAACGTTTTCCAGGGCGTTGGATTGGTCGTGAAAGTCCTATTAATTGGCCTGCAAGATCTCCAGACCTCACACAATTAGATTTTTGTTTATGGGGGCTGGATGAAAAATGAAGTCTACAAAATAAAAGTGGACACACGGGATGCACTAATTAGACGAAATGAGAATACTGCAGACCATATTAAAGAAGAAAGAAATGAATCAATTAGGAGAGCAACAAACGCTCTTCGTAGACGAAGCAAAAAATGTTTAGAAGTCAATGGCGGTATTTATTGAAAGAACGCTATGATTAGGAGAATTTTTATGTGTAATTTTTTGTTTATTTGTTAATATGCTATAACTTGAAAACAAATGAAAATCGGATGAGAACATATGAGTTTTTTTACATTATTTTCATGTGTATAATATACTCCTAGAGTTTGGTGCGCTCCTCCCGACTCACCCTGTATATCGTACCGACATAAACATTTTCAAAGATAAATTAAGACTTACTAGTTATGGCATTACATTAAGGATAAAAAAAAAAATATAAAATATTTAAATAAAATTAGAAAATAACACTATTTAAAAGGATACAAGAAATAAATTTTTATAATCTAAAAAATGCAGTAAATTAACAAAATTCTCAAAATTATATTTTTAAATATTGAAATATATTAGTCTAAAACTACAACAACCTCCACAATTATGATTAAAATGGTATAAAATGTTTTAGTATTGCGCCGATAATACTATAGTGCAATTGCCAAATGGAAAAATTAAGGGAAAATTGCTTACACTTATGAAAGTAAGATAAAATTTTGGGCCTTTCTAGGAATACCATATGCTGCTCCACCAGTTGGTAACAACAGATTTCAGGTAAGTGCTACTCGAAATAATTAAATGAATTATTACAAAAAATAATATGGTAATCTCAGTCCCTTAAAAACATTTCTTATTATTCAACATTAGATGTTTAATAAAATTAATAAAAATTAATAAAAATTAATAAAAATTAATAAAAATTAATAAAAATTAATAAAAATTAATAAAAATTAATAAAAATTAATAAAAATTAATAAAAATTAATAAAAATTAATAAAAATTAATAAAAATTAATAAAAATTAATAAAAATTAATAAAAATTAATAAAAATTAATAAAAAATTAATAAAAATTAATAAAAAATTAATAAAAATTAATAAAAATTAATAAAAATTAATAAAAATTAATAAAAATTAATAAAAATTAATAAAAATTAATAAAAATTAATAAAAATTAATAAAAATTAATAAAAATTAATAAAAATTAATAAAATTAATAAAAATTAATAAAAATTAATAAAAATTAATAAAAATTAATAAAAATTAATAAAAATTAATAAAAAAATTAATAAAAATTAATAAAAATTAATAAAAATTAATAAAAATTAATAAGATTAATAAAAAATTAATAAAAATTAATAAAAATTAATAAAAATTAATAAAAATTAATAAAAATTAATAAAAATTAATAAAAATTAATAAAAATTAATAAAAATTAATAAAAATTAATAAAAATTAATAAAAATTAATAAAAATTAATAAAAATTAATAAAAATTAATAAAAATTAATAAAAATTCATAAAAATTAATAAAAATTAATAAAAATTAATAAAAATTAATAAAAATTAATAAAAATTAATAAAAATTAATAAAAATTAATAAAAATTAATAAAAATTAATAAAAATTAATAAAAATTAATAAAAATTAATAAAAATTAATAAAAATTAATAAAAAATTAATAAAAATTAATAAAAATAATTAAAAATTAATAAAAATTAATAAAAATTAATAAAAATTTATAAAAATTTATAAAAATTTATAAAAATTTATAAAAATTTATAAAAATTTATAAAAATTTATAAAAATTAATAAAAATTAATAAAAATTTATAAAAATTAATAAAAATTAATAAAAATTAATAAAAATTAATAAAAATTAATAAAAATTAATAAAAATTAATAAAAATTAATAAAAATTAATAAAAATTAATAAAAATTAATAAAAATTAATAAAAATTAATAAAAATTAATAAAAATTAATAAAAATTAATAAAAATTAATAAAAATTAATAAAAATTAATAAAAATTAATAAAAATTAATAAAAATTAATAAAAATTAATAAAAATTAATAAAAATTAATAAAAATTAATAAAAAATTAATAAAAATTAATAAAAATTAATAAAAATTAATAAAAATTAATAAAAATTAATAAAAATTAATAAAAATTAATAAAAATTAATAAAAATTAATAAAAATTAATAAAAATTAATAAAAATTAATAAAAATTAATAAAAATTAATAAAAATTAATAAAAATTAATAAAAATTAATAAAAAATTAATAAAAATTAATAAAAATTAATAAAAATTAATAAAAATTAATAAAAATTAATAAAAATTATAAAAATTAATAAAAATTAATAAAAATTAATAAAAATTAATAAAAATTAATAAAAATTAATAAAAATTAATAAAAATTAATAAAAATTAATAAAAATTAATAAAAATTAATAAAAATTAATAAAAATTAATAAAAATTAATAAAAATTAATAAAAATTAATAAAAATTAATAAAAATTAATAAAAATTAAATAAATATATTAAAAAGTAATTTTAAAAATTAATTATTGTAAATTTTTTTCAAGAATCGCATAAAAAAAATTCTCACGAATAACGAAAACTGTTACTTACTTTTAATTATTAATTTTGGTTTAAGAAATTTCAGCGAAGTCGTATCGGGTCAGCTAGTAAATATATAAATTAAAATTATTTGCAAGGAAGATTGGATGTATAAATATATATTTTGTTAGTGAACTTACAACCTAGTAATAATTTTGTTTGTGGTCCTTATTTTCCATTCTAAATCAGCACAAAATAATCAAAACAAAATACACGATGAAATAGCTTACTTTCTAAAAAATCTAAATAACTTTAACAAGCAAAATAAACACCCTACAACAAGTGGATGAAAATAAATTATATGATTTTACATTTTTAGATATGCCAATTAAATGAATGAAGTTATGCAACCAATAATTCACGAAAGTAATACTATTTACATAAATGTTAGTAATTTTTTATCGAACAAAATTTTATAATACATTTAAGGGCGTGCATTGGAACAGAGAAGTCTGAACAAGTCCTCCCAGAGAGAGACAAATAAAGTTATCCGAGAGGTGCTGCCTCTAGTTAGCAACTAAGTAACAAATATACGTTCTGCATTTTCGCATTTGCGAATAAAAATGTATTCTTTTAAACTTGCAGGTACAGGCTTTTGTATGGTATAGATTGAAATTTTTTTGACTTTGCCTCCCACTGCGGTGTCACAAGCTGAATTTTTTAGGAATGAAAGTACATGATAAGCTTACCCTTATTCCGGAGGGTAATAGAAAATTAGACAGTGCAAAAGGGCACTATCATAAAAAATCGAGTTATTGATACCATCATATAGAAAAAAACAATGCTTATTTTTTGTTGTAATGCACAATAAGGTCTTTGTAGGAAGTATTTTTTTTATAATTATTTAAAAAAAATCATTTGCATTAGCCCTTATGGTCGAAAAAAAATTTAAACGTCAATATCTCGGTTTCAACCGTCCACAAATTTGTATAAAAAATCTTTTTTAGAAATATACCTCTCATTTGACGAAAAACGAAGGCCTAAATGAGAAAAAACTATTCCGCATAAAAGTTTCGCCAATGTATTAACAAGGTAACAGTGCTTTCCCCATATTTTTTGCTTTTATAATAACAAAAATATAGCAATAAACAATTAGTTATGTCATGGTTTAACTAGAAAGCAAACATTGAAGGTAAAGTCTCTCACTCTCTACTCCTTCTCTCTCAGTGCTAAAATGTATGCAATCAGTTTGACTCTCTCATATTATTGTATACACGGATTATTGATTTATACGCTATGATTTATTTTTTTATTTTTTGAGGAAAATAAAAAATAAGAAAATATGAACTATTTATTGAAGGTATAAACACAGTATATATAAGTATCGATTATAAACAGTAAGGCTATTGCTTTGCAAAATACAATAAATTCCCAATGTAAAAAACATTATAATAAGAATAATTAAAAGTATATAAATCATAAATTAATATTATTAAAATTTATAGTACAAGACTTTTAAACTAATCAGAATAAGATTCACCACACGAATCGACATTTTCCAAAACATTAGCGACTGTGGTCAAACTTTTTCTGCAGTTTTTCTGTGCCATACAGGTAGGTGCAGGAACCGATACAGCCAATATTTTTTTCCTGCATTTGCAAATTTTGCTTTCTTAGTCTAGAACAGAATAATATTGTTAGAATATTGTACATCTATGAAAATTATCGGTGTATAGTACCTTTTTTGCATTTGCATGATGTAAGTTCTGTTATGTCTGGTGGCAGGTCGGACAGAGTCTTAGAGTGGGTATCAGACTTCCATCTTGATCTACTTTTTATTTATACTCTTTAACATTAGGAAGCTGCACCTGCGGCTTTAAAGAACTTAGCCAAATATTTAGCTGGTGAAAACATATTAAACAATGTAATCTTAGGTCGTCTTAAGTCGGTGGCAATTTAGCAATGGTTTTTAAAGAGGCCATTAATCCCCTCAAAATGTTTAATGGAAGTAACATTGGAAATTTTTGAATAAATTTTTATGAAACATTTTTCAAGATTAGAGAATATGTTTTCTTTTCCCAATGCCAGACTATTGGCTGGTTGTATCATAACCGGTCAGATAATGAAAATCATACAAATTTTCTAGAAGGTATCATCTAAATTTAAATCATGTACTGCTAGAAATCGTCTTGAGTCTCTTCGCCCTGTTCTGAACCATATCTCTTTAGTCAAATGCTTCTTAAAATAAATTTTTAAGACTAGAACATCTGTATCGTTCCAATTAATAATGCAGCGTGAATGCCCCGAATTTTTGGCTGACAATATGTGCAATAAGATACGAGTATCAGCTTCTTCGTGATTTGAATTTAAGAAATCGTCTTTTGATGGTTCAAAATTCGTCCCATATTTATTGATATTCGCGAATCCACCACTAGTTACAAATTAAATATGCTTTTGCTGAATGGAATTTTGAAGAAGTTGCTCTGACAGAAAATTTGTTAAACGTCTTTTGTTAAATATCGAATGAATAAACAAGTTCTATTGTTGCGGAAGTGGAGTATTGGGTCGGTCAATTTCTACATTAATTGATTTCTGGAATCCTTTCTTTTGACGAGTTTTTGATAGAATGTTCTTTGTAATGATCATATACCACATCTATCCTTTAAGCATTAAATTTATTTCTAAAAATATCTGCTTGTTTTCACATCGTCAATCAATTTTAATAGACTTCATTTATTTGCTATGTTGAATATAGGGTGTGTTAAAATTTTCAATTTTCTCAATTTTTTTAAATTTAATACCCTATATGTTATACACACCAATTGATTAATACAGGGTCCATTTACAAAATTGAGAAAATCGTAACTTCACGTTTTGACACACCCTATACAACATAGCAAATTAATGAAGTTAATTTTATTAAAATTGATTGACGATGAGAAAACAAAATTAGTATAACAACCTGCAGGGTGTTTTGCTTTTAAAAAGTATAGATTTGGTTCGCACCTCGTTTATGGACCACCCTGTATATTTAGGAATAATTGTTAAATATAATCATACAACTTTTATATTAAAAATTTCGTCGTATTTCTAATAATAAAACAGCTATCTATCAAATATGCGTTATTGGCTAACTATTGGTATCGTTGTATAGACAAATTTTTAAAGAATTTTATGATAAGATAATATACACGATGATGCATTTTAAAAAATTGAG